ATGAAACAGTGTTTATATATATATATATATATATATATATATACATACATATTACACAACAGCTGAGTTAAGTGTGAAAATTTAGAACAATTTTAGATCTAAAGAGCTTTGTGAGTCATTAAGGATAAGGCAGTCTAGCTACCAGTAGACTTTCTTTAATGTAGAGGTCAAGGTCTGAAGATCCTGTGGTGATGGTAGAGAAATCGTTAAGTGAAATATTGTGAACTGTGGTTTCAGAATGTGAATGAGTGGATGAGTGGCTGGGTTTAAGTAGTGGATAGTTGGTTCTGTTAGATACTCCTAAATGTTCACAGACTCTAGTTTTTAAGTGGCATTTTGTTTATACATGAGCCATGAACGTAGAAGTTTAGGTACTTGATCTTTGTACTGAAATAAGTGTTTAATGCGGAGGCTAGTTCTGTATATTATTCTAAGATGAATTTGAGGGTAGAAGTTTTTTATTAGGGAACAGAGTTGTTCATTAATTGGCAGGGATTGTGAACCCATAAAAGTAAGGGAGATAATGAGGGGAAATTTGGGGATGGCGTGTACATTGGCTGGTGTTTGGAATTTGTTGTTTAGGAAATTGTGTGTGTAATCTTCTTTAGAAAATCAGTCAGATAGCCATTATTTAACATACGTTTATGTAGAAGGATAATTTCTTTGTGTAAAATAAAATAATTAGAACAAAGATTAAAAATTCATTTTAACAATGATGTGACCAGATATTTTAAGAAGTTGGGGATAAAACTATTGAAATTGGTGTAGAGGCCAGTAAATTTCTTTTATGATAAACAGAGGTAGAAAAGTGTTTACCTTCTTTGGTAATCCTGACATCTAGGAAAGATAAAGATTCATTTTTCTTGAGTTTGGATGTGAATTTAATATTGGGGTCTTTGGAATTAAGATAAGAAAGGAACTTGGAAACCTGGTTTGATTGATAAAATAGCAAGAAAGTGTCATCAATATAGCATTTTTAAAGGACAGGCTTGAATTCACATGGGCAGTTTTCTGGCCACTTCCATTCATTATTGCATAGAAAACTATTGGCTACCAACAGACCCAGCAGGAATCCCATGGCGATTCCATCTACCTGGTCATAAATCACGTCATTAAAAAGGAAATGGTTTAACTTTGTAGAGTAAACAAGAAGTTCCAGAAATTGGTTACGGGTGAAAGCAAGATACTTTTCAGTGACAGTGGGAAAGAGAAGGTCCACTATTAAACTTAAAATTTCATCAAGAGGGATATTCTATATAGAGATTCAATATCAAAACTGGCCATAACATATTGATCAACAGAGGGAATTTTAAAGAAGCAAATGTAAAATAATTGGTAATCGCAAATTTGTTTAAGGTGAGGGGTTTAAGGATAGGAACGATAAATTTTGACAGGATATAATTGCAAGAGCCTACAGCTGAGAGAACAGGGCGAAGAGGGTATCCAGTTTTGTGTACTTTGGGTAGACCATAAAGAATACTGGGTTTGGTGCCACATGAGGCAATTTGTTCAAGTTGTTTCAGAGATAATATTTTGACTTTTGAGGATCTTGAGGAAACGTAGGATCTTATCTTCTCTCTTAAAGGTTAGGGATAACAAGTCTGTATCTAGTTTTTATAAATTTACAAGGTTCACTGAACTGGTGGTTTATTTTATCAATTATACTCAGCCTTTTTCATAATCACTACCTTTTTAGTGGCATTCTTAACATAAATTTAGTTACAAAGTGTGCACTATCCAGTCATTTTGAAATTGGCTTTCTATAATTCTAGATCCCACTTGATAGCCTAGACATTATTACAGTTTTTTAACTCTTCAGCACTCAACAAAAATACAGGATTCTAAGAACACTTCACTTGGGACAAATAGCTGATCTATTAATATATTTATCAGCCAACTATAAATATATTTGTTGAAAGAAACACCTATACTCTTCCAGATAATTCTCAATCGAACCTTTCTTTCTAGACAATTTTTACTCACCCTTAAACTTTTTCAGACCTTTCTTGAACATGCTTCATTTATGTCTAACCAATCATGATTCAAATTCCTCATTATATTTGAAGCTTCCAAACTATAAATTGCTAGAATTTTACAATGATTTCACTCTAGCAAGTTCTAGAAATTCTTAATCTAAAAATAAAGGATTAGGTCTGAAAGACATGAAAACAAAAAATGAATTATTTTAAGTAGATCATCTATTATAGAACAATGGCCAGGATAGGCATACACATATGCTTCACATTTTCGATCCTGTTGGCTAATAATGGCAACAAAAATTAAATTGTAATATGAAACCATAAGAAAATGTCCATAGTGACTTGCACCCCATATAGGTGAGCTGCAGTTTAATTTGACTAGCAAAATTGAAACTTTTGCAAGAAAAATACCCTTCAGTAAAAGAGTTTTTGACTTGCATCTATGGTAGTCTTTATGTATTCCTTCATGCAAATATTCTTTCTGGTCATGCTGTCATACGAGATGTTTGACACTAGTTTGTGTGGTCTTTTGAAGAGTATTGAATGGTATGAAATGGCAGTAATTTCTACAGTTCATGATCTTTGATTGGTCAAAATCAAAACGTTAACCATCAGGCACTGCTTAATAACATTGATGTGTTTTTCTTTTAGACAAAGTTAACTTTACATTAACAATTGGGAAAATTCTGTCTCATTCATTTTTTTTTGCAGATTTCTCTATCAAGATTTTTTTTGTCAGCTGTTTAAACTATTCAGTAAATATATTTTTGAAGGAGCTAAGTTAGATCTAAAAATGATGTAAAAGTAGGCTTAGTTTAACATGTATTAGCTTATACAAAACTCTTAAAGGCCTGCACTTAGGAAAAGTATTGGTTTTCACTTCTTTGGTTTCAGGTTAAAGTTCTTAGCATAGTAACTCTGATTGATCATTATATTTTTATGACAATAGATGCTGTAAATGACACTTTATTGATGTTTTGACAAATTGTCAGTTTTCCATTGCTTCAGTGATGATGGACTTAGTTAAGAATTGTTGTTGATAATATATTGTTGTCAGCCTGGTAAACACCTCCAAGTGCTGAAGTGTCTGTTTACAAGATATGATTTGATCTGCATTTGCAATGAAAATAAAGATTATGAAATTACAAAAAACATTTTAGGCCCACTGATGGTTCCATAGAGCCTGCAATGATTGGTAGAGGTGGTTGCAATCTCTGTTTGGTTACATTTTGGATCAAACCTAAATTAAGAACATCTGTGTAGTAAACAAAGTAATATTACTTCATTTATAAATTTTGTGAGTGTTTTGAAAATTTGAATTGTAATTTTGATTAGGGGTAGTGAAACAGATGATTATAAATTTTCATATTTGTTTTGTGATATAAGCACTTCTATACAAGCCTTTTTGTTTTCACTGTTACATTAATGATAGAACAAAAAGTTTGGAAGGCTGCCAGGGCATCAGGAGCTGCACCAACTTATTTTCGGCCTGACGGTCCTTTTCTTGATGGAGGTTTAATAGCAAATAATCCAACATTAGATGCCATGACTGAAATTCACCAGTTTAATGAAGCCTTAAAATGTACTGTAAGTAATAACATAGATGTTATAACAGAAAACAACAAATAAATGCTGTTACAGTATGATAAAATATGAAATACTAAGAAATAATTTAAAATGCTGTTAATATATACATATATTTGGTCATTTTCTAATCTAAGGACCTTAAAGGTTGAAGGTAATTTGGCTAAGTGTTGACCACATTTTTTCCCTTATAGTGAATTTATTTTTTAATGTACAGTGGTAGCTGGTTACATAATGTAAATTTACATAAATCCTAAAATACACTAAAAATGTGACGAAGGTAATTTATTACAAATGTAATAAAACCAATAATTTTGTGGAAAACATACAACTTTAAAGTTTTTGTATTGGTAATCTTCATTTTCCTGCTTTTTTTTTCTGTATTCTTTTCTTGATATGATAGAGTTGGAGGGTTTTTTGTTTGATAACTTCAAAACGGCATCTATCAAGCTGTATATACCCACCTCGTATCATTTAGATGATTTATGCTACTTCTAGAGATGAGCCTTTGTTGTAATTCATCATAAATTGTAAATTTTTTATGTCATGGTTTCTAATATTACCTGTTTATATCTTTTGTTTCTTTCTCAATTATTTCTTTTGATTTTTAACTTTTCACTGTGATTGCTGAGTAGGAGCTTAATATCTACTTCTTGAATTAAATTGTTTGCTTTTTGGAATTTGTCAAGGGTTTATTTTATTAACTGCATTTGGCTCTTTTTCTCTAATCGTCTTAGACATGTTTTATATCTGTTAGTTGTTTTTAACTTTGTTGGGGTTGAAAGAGGGTTTTTGTAGTTAGCTCAGGACAAGAACAGAAAGAATATTATACTGCATTTACTAATCAGACTAAGGGTCTAATTGCTGTATTTCAGAATTCATAGTTTTTGCCACTTGCTGTTTCAAACAGCATATTCAAGAGAAAGAATCTCTGCTCATACCAATTTTTACAAGTGTCTTTGTCTCCCCTTGAGATGAATGTCCCTTCCCAGGAAGCGGACGCAGACACAACCAAACTGGTACAATTCTCCGTATGATGCTATTTGTCATATGTAACCTTTATTTAGGTAAGAGAGTTAGCTCATGTGTACTAAGTGACTAATTGAAAAAAACAATTTCTGAGGCCATACTTGTACAGAAAATAATGTCAGCAATGGAACTATTAAACCCGGAAAAATGTATGATAATATTTGAAGAAAAAAAAAATTATGTTAGCCAAAAGATTGTTTAAACTTCACACAACTTTCACTGACTCTTGAATTTCCTTCAGTGTGTAACAGGTGCTGAAAATATGAGCAATGCAATTAGATGTTGCCTAATGAGAAAAGTAAGCCACTTAGTGTGAAAACAAAGAGAAACAGGGCAGAGATATGTAATGTAAGCTATGTGACTGGATCAAAGCTAAACTGATGTTAGGACTGACCATTAGAAGTGAGAAATCACAAAGTAAAGTAATAAAGACAATGAACTACCTAAATGAAAGCAACATGGCAGTGCCAGCAAAAATACTAGTTAAAAAAGCTGATAAGCAGAAGGTTTATTGAAGATGTTCAAGGATCCAACAATTGTGCTGTGAGCACATAACTGTACTGGTGGCTGCACTTCAGAAACGTGGGTTTGGACTTGTGAACTCATTTGAAATGAATAATTTTAACTTTAAACAGTGGGTGCTGTTTTTTAACCAATCTTCATTTTCACCTTATCACACTCTTACTTGTTGCCTGTGACAGTGACTTTCTGTTGTTTGTGTTCTCCTGGCACAAGCTAAGATCTGCAAAATTCCAGCTGGGATATTTTGAAGATTCATAGATTCTATAGGTGGTGATATCTAAACTTTACACCTATTGAACATATAACTGTGTGGCCATTACAATTTCCTCTTCCTCCTCTTGACACTTACTTCACAATAACTTCCTCAACCTTTACTGCATCCTTTATTTCAAGGAAATGTGATTGTTGCCTTTTCATAAATCTTCTATTTGAGCAAAATTGATGTTTTTCAGCTTCAAGATTAAGAAATTTTGGAAACTTCATGGTATACCATTTAAGGGCCATTAGATGATCATCTTTGATGTCTTTCTTTCCCCATCCTGCTTCCCCAATATACAACCATCTGTATTGCCTTTCTCTCTCCATCCTTCCTCCTTAACATACAACTATCTTTATTACCTTTCTCCATCTTGTCTCCCCAATATACAACCATCTGTATTGCCTTTCTCTCTCCATCCTTCCTCCTTAACATACAACTATCTTTAATACCTTTCTCCATCTTGCTTCCCCAATATACAACCATCTGTATTGCCTTTCTCTCTCCATCCTTCCTCCTTAACATACAACTATCTTTAATACCTTTCTCCATCTTGCCTCATTAAAATACAACCATCTTTAATACCTTTCTCCATCTTGCCTCATTAAAATACAACCATCTCTGATACTTTTCTCTCTTTATCCTGTATCCCTAATATATTACTATCTTGATGCCTTCCTTTCTTTCTGTATCCTGCCTTCCAAAGATTTTAGAGATATTTCACAGAGTCTTCCAGTTCAGTACCCTTATATTTTTTGTGTGTTTCCTGCTTGTTTTGGTTTTAATGTGAAAATTTACTCTCATTCCTACTGCACATGAACAGTTAGTTCAATCTTGTCATGTTGGAATTTGAGTTGATTGTAATGACTTGGTGTACATTTGATTTAGCTTTTTTGGACGTGATGGCTTATTAAACACTTAATGAAATTCTTATTTCTGTTCTCATTTGTGGTTGTGATATATAAAAAATCCACATAATACTTTTATTTTATTGTATTCATATGCTGCCTAAGTATCTACTTCTTCTGGAAGAGTAGGTATAACTTTTTGTTATCACTTTACAGAAAATGTGTGCAAATACTCTTTTTTTAGTTGAAATAACTGATTTATCTTGAATGCTTTGTTTTCTGGGTTCACTTTCTTCTTCATACTATGCATTATCAGATCATGTGCAGATGCCCCGTAAAGTTTACACTGCAGTGGTGTCTGAATGGATCCCAAACTATGATTATTGTGTGTCTCAATTTGTCATCGTTGGATCTTTATATTTTAAAGCATACTTTGATTTCTGCTAGGGGTTAGGTTTAAAATGATATTGTGTCAGTCTTGAAGTATCCATATGTGTCATATACTGATATAAACATTTTAGAATTGTGAGCTGTTTATCAAGTTTATAATTTGTTTTTCAGTACCACCTGTACAGTTGAGTATCAACTGCCATGGGGTAATCTAGTACCAGATCAGTAATCAGTATCAGTAATCTAGTACCAGATCAGTAATCAGTATCAGTAATCTAGTACCAGGTTTCTTCTCTTGGACTTCCAAGTTTTCAGTCACAATCTGAGCTAGGTGTGAACCTTGCTTAGTTAACTTGTTCCTTTTCTAATATTTCAATATTTGAATAGACTGTTCTTGACAACAAGTGTTGGTCCTTCTGTAGAAAGATGCTAACTCTGACTGTTCTCCATATTCAGTGTATTGAATTTTGTTTTCTTGCAATCCAGAGATGAGCTGGGCATGGGGCTGTGATTAGTAATTCCTAGGTTCAAGTTTGTTATGTCACTGAACATTCTTCACACTTTTAGCTGTGAGCACAAAACAGTAACAGCCAATCCTGATTTTCAATTTAGAATAGTGATGTAAGGAGTGGGTACTGCTGTCTGGTTGTTCTCCTTTTTGCCAGCAGTCCAAAATAGATACAGCTATGCCTGAACCATGGGGTTTCTGTGCAGGCAATTTAGCCTATGTATCTCATAAGGTGCCATTGGGCTGAAAATACCATACTATTAAGAGCTACATATTTTTAAGAATTGAAATGGAACTGAATTGCTATTTCATCTGTGGATAGAAAAACTGTTTGTTTCTGAGGAAATTATCTGAATTGATTAAGTACATTAGATAAGCTACTGATTATTTAAGATAGTGAAAAATATACTAAACTATAGCATAGGAATTTGATTAGTCACAAGATGGAGGAAACAAGATGGCTATTATAAAGATGAACTTTCTGTCTTTCTAAAAGTAACTGTTTGAATTCCATTTTGATTAATGAAAAAATTGAAATATTTAAACTTTAACTGTCATATGTTTTATAAAAAAAGTGCTTATGTATATTTCATTTGGCATGTGAGCTTAATGATGTTCTGCTTTATGTTTCATAATGAGATTTAACCTTAAATTGCTCTTAAAAAATGATTTTTTGAAGGTAAAGAATGTTTAGTAAATAAGAAGTTGAAAGAACAATATATCATACAGTATTAATTAAAAAAATATGTATAGAGATATGTTTTGGAAAGTATACTGTTTAATGTAAATCATGCAAAAAGTATTAAGCTTTTTTCTGTTTTTGTTAGGCATGTGTCCTATTCGTTTTTAAGTTTTCTGTTTTCACAGATGCTAGGAAAAGTATGTTTTATTATTTTCACTTCACATTTTTGAAAAACTACAGGGGCAAGAAGATCAGGTTAGAAAACTTGGATTAGTAGTGTCACTTGGTACAGGAGTAGTGCCAGTTACTGAAGTGAAACGTGTTGATGTATTTCGACCAGATGGGATATGGGATACAATGAAGTTAGCGTTCGGAATGAGTGCGCTTGGACAGCTGATTGTGGATCAAGTTTGTAGTTCACTCTCACCTGTTTTATTATTACTTACCCTCTCATATGTATGTTTAAGTACATGTTTCCTGGTTACCAAAATGCTTGAGAATTAATTTTAAAGTCTCTGCCCACCCCTTACCCGTAAAGTACCAAATCTAATGTATTAAACATCAGCCATACTTTCCACAATTACTGATTGATATAAACTTTAAAACAATCTAGTATATGTTAAGGACACTTGTGTACAATAAACAGTTATTAAGAAGACGGTTAGTGATTAAGAAAAAGTAAGTTAACTTTTAATATTTTCCTTTGTATAAATCGATGCATCATGGAATATTTGGGTAAAAGTATAGAAACTAACTACTTAATCTGTTTTGACCCACTAGTTAAAAGCATTATATGGTTGTTCTTGTCAACCCATCATGAAAATAGTTATAAAGTTGAGATTTTTAGTTAAGTACTTGAATTATTGTTCTACATGTAGTAATGCTTCAACTGTAACTTTTAAAAAATCTGAAGTAGACATTAGGTAAACTTTTATGCTATTGAATAACCATAATTTTAGACATGGTGAAATATATCTTTAGTTTATAACTTCTCCAAAACATGTTTGAATTTCTTTTGAAGTTCTCTGAACATGAATAATTTAGGCTGTTAAGTATCTAGAGTTTATCAGCTTTCTTTAAATATAAGCTTATGTTTAGTATAGTATTGAAATTGAATAATCTTATTCCTATTAATATTAATAATTATAAACCTTTAAATTCATAATTTAGTTCTGATGGAGCAGTGATAACATTGGTACTCATGCATCACCTTTAATCCTTGTTCTGGGATCTGAAATTGTCTAATACTGTGATCTTCTTGTAAAAAACAAAACTTTGGTTGTGCTGTAAAATATATTACCTTGTTTCTGTACAAAACTCGGTACCTGAGACCTGTATAGAGAGTATACACCTACCTAGCTTTGTAGGTCCAGGAATTTTATAATACTTTATTTAATCTGGTGATCTCACATTTAGAATTAGTAATACTCACATGTCTGTAAATTATATAGTTACGATGTGAGCATTATTTTTGAAAAATTTGTAACACTCATGTTCTATATTAATAAAGATTATTTGTACTTTAAACTTCCTAGTGTTACAACAGGTAAATTAACTCCATGAATTCTGTAATTTTCAAGTAACTGTCACAAACTTGACAACATCTGAGTTCTGTTGTAACATTGATAATCTTAGCCCTACTTTAACCTGATAACCTCAGTCACATACAAAAGTTTATACATGAGATTTGCTATACTAGTGATAAATGTGAATTAGTATAAGTTTTATTGCAATTTTTATTGATTATTGTTCTCTTGCATTTTTGGTAGGTCAATAGTCTGTGAGATTAGAGAGTTGCTAATGTGACTCCTATTTTTAAAAAAAGTCGTACTTCTAGAGTGTGAAAAATTCTAGAGTCTGATGAAAGAAGTTTTACAAAAATAATTTAGCAAAATATGATAGCATAAATGAAAATCAACTTTTTTCAGTGATATTGCTTGTTATCTGGATAATAGAAAAGGTGTAGTTTTAATGTACATTGATTTTTTAATAAAGCTTTTGATATGTTGCTATTCAAAATATTACCTAAGAAAAATCATGTTGGTAGGGTTTGAGGAAAGACTAGTTGATAGGGTGGTAGAATAAGAGAAAGCAAAAGATTTCTCATTTCTGGAGTCCAATCAAACTGGATTCTTGTTATAAGTGGAATGCCCCAGGGGTCAGTTTTTAGGGCCTTAACTAGTAAAGTTTTCTAATGGCATTAAAGTCATGGATATCTCTAGCTATGTTAATGATGTTGAGGTAATGCAGAATGTCTTCGATAAATTGTTAAGTTCGACAAATATCTGGAAAATTGTCTTTAATTATAGTAGGCACAAGGTAATATATTTGGGTTATCAAAATTTTGGTCACAATTTTAATATAGATGGGAACCTACTCAATAGCATGACTGAAAAAAGAAACTTAGAATAGTTATGGGTAAGTCACTCAAGCAATTAAAGCAGTACTCTATTGCTAGTATTAAAGCCAATAGAATTTTAGAGTGTGTTTATAAACCAAATAGGTAATTATATTTCTATGCAAATCACTAATAAGGATTCACTTGATATACTGTGTACAGTTCTTCTTTCCTTATCCAAAAAAATTATATTGACTTATTGAGAAGGGTTAAGAGGGGGTTATTAGAATGACTCTATGGATGGAAAGATTATCTTACGAGGTTAGGTTAAGATAACTTATTTTATATTTTCTCTTTAAGAAATGAAGGGTAAGAGGTGTTCTTATTCAAGTTGATAAGAATTGTCTGGGATATCAATAGGATGAAGGCCTCCGATTTATTTTTCTACATTCTGAAAGTGATAGGATGAGATGACACAAGTTTAAGATTTGAAAAAGACAGGCTAGCTAGGCTACAGTTAAAACAGTTATAGTTTTCTAACAAGGATGGATTTATATTTTTACTTTTCTCAACATTGGGTGGATGTGTAAAGACATCCTTGAAGGACCAAATGGTAACATTGTTATTCACAAGTTGTATTGTATTGTGGAATTCTGATTTATCATTTAAAATAAAGTAAAATCACTGTTGCAGTAATATAGAAATATTTGGTACATGCTAACAGAGAAATACTTCTTTATCAGGCCACACAAGCCAATGGAAGTGTTGTACGTCGAGCACAAGCATGGTGTAACATGATTGGAGTTCCTTATTTTCGCATCAATCCTCCAATCTCTCAGGATGTAGCATTGGATGAAGTGGACAACATTGTTTTAGTAAAAATGTTGTGGGAAACAATCATGTACATTAATCAGCACAGACAAGAGATGACAGCTTTAACACTTTTGATGTCTAGGTAATAACACATTAAAGAAATATATGGAAATGTCCTGATTTGATTACTAAGTCAATTATAACTTGCATTAGTATTCAGCTGTTTCACTAGATGGCCCATTTTCATGGAAAGATTAAAGGCATGATGTGTTAAGTGTGAGATGAGGTTATTATATAATTTAGCAGTCAAAAATATATTCTTAGTAATATTTTTCTTTGCATTGTTTTTTTTTCATCTAAGTTATTTGTATCTTTGTAGAGACTAGAACCATTGTTCATATCTTTTATTATTGAATAATTTGAAGGATTACTTCAGTATTTCTTTTGTAATTATGGCATTGGATATCAAAATAAAGGGATAAGTAATAAACAAATGCAATAAACATGTAATAATAACTTGGATACACTATAAACCTATGGAAGTAAAACTGGTACTTCATGCTTAAAGAAAAAAGCAAAATACAAATTTATGTATGGGAAAAAAGGCAGTATATCATAGAACATGTGAAAAAAATGTTTTTGTAATTAGATAAATAAATACACTACATATAACAATTAGGGTAAATACAACATACATATGGAAATAGAGAGAAGCCGTCATTTGTGTGTGTGCGTATGTCTGTATGTATGTATATATAGATACACACACGAGAGTTATTATAAGTCCATGCATAAAAAATGTAAGGATATTCTGTACATATTTCATACACAATGAAACAGCGGTGTATTACATTCTTGTAACAGTACAGATGATTCACCATGAACACAGGACAATGAAGAGTATATTAAACAAAATCCTAGATCAAATAAAGTTGTAGTGGTTGATGTAACCTATTTCTTGACCATCATATTGTCAGTTACAAATGGGTGGAATGATCAGAATACAATGCTCACAATAGAAAAATTTAGTTGCTTTAGATGTAGAATTATAAGGAAAGTGAAGGATAGATATTCTTCAGACCCTTCTTATTTACTCTAATCTTGAATGTTATTTATGATGCATTTATTATGTTTAGTTTTTCAGAAAACTAAATGTGATTCTTTTGTTATTGTACAAGGTATTCAGATCATAGTACTTAATTATTTTTAATAGTTTAAGGGAAGATTTGACTTTGAGAATACTCTTTCTCTCTAAAGTGTTATTACATATGAAGAGTATAAAATTGATTGAAGGTTTTTTTTTAGTTTTGCATTGAGTTTTTCATTTACAAACACTACATGATCATAACAGTAAAAGTTTCAGGGGTAAGAGTGCACAACACAATTATGTAAATAATGATTTTCTTCATTATTATAGTTTTAGTTGTGTAATTCTGATACAGTTCAGTAAATCTTGTATTGACACAACGTTTTTGTTGCTTACAGTTAGCATTTGTTATAGAAACTAACATTTAATATTTGAAATAATCAAAAAAGTTTTTCTAAAGAAATGGAAGCATTTTAGAATTAAAAGCTGTTTTAATGTTAAATATGTATGATAAGAAATGTAAAAATACAAAATGCATAGTGTTTATGTAAATAAAGGCGAAAAATGCTATTGTAGTTGCAAGATATTATGAAATTACATTTACAAGGACCACCTCAGTATTGCCAAAAGAATAACTAGATTTTTGTTTTAATGTTCTTGACTTTCAGAATGGGATACACTTTTTTTTAATTTACCCCATTAGTCATGGTTTAAACATTACTTGCAACTCCTGCTGTCAGTTAAAAGGTATAAAAACATTTGGTTACTCTGCTATAACTTAAATCATGAATTTATTAGTTCTCAAATGGGAAACTTGTTTGTTGAGTAGTTACTAACTCAAGTAGATTGAAATGCTATATTTTCTTAATGCTCGTGTAATTTCACAAGCTTGAGTAGCATATGCAGATTTTATAAATTTTAGAAGACTTCTTGTGATTCATTATTAACCTTATTCAGCTGTTACTACTACTTATAGATAGTAATTGAGAGAGGTTTATATAACAATGATGTTTGTTTTATACTAAACGTTGCTTACTCCTCAAAGTTGAAAAAGCAGATTATGAAATTATAAGTTCTTTTGCCATTTTATTTAAGCTAAAAAACTTTAATTTCAAAAATCACAAACACTTAATAGCTGACTTTCGTTTTTTTCCAGGAATCGTACGTACTTCAGATTAATGAGTGATTTTCTAATTAAGATTGTCAATATTTTTTCTTGAAATACAGCTGCTAAAACCTTCTAAAGCACAAAAGGTTCTTATTACTAAAAAATAGTGATGTGCAAAAGCAGCTTGGAAGAATAATGAATTGTGTAACAAGTATATCACACAGTGTATCAAGTTTACAATGCATGTTATGATACATTCTTTTAAATGAGGATTTAAACAGTATAAAAATACTTAATATAAATTTCATTTTGCAAAATATGCATTTAAGATATTAGATTTCAACTGCACTTTCCAAGTAGCTAAATTAACAAAAGTATCAATTGCTAGTTACCAAAAAATAAACTTTTAAAATATCTCATACTATTCCATAATATGAATGTCAAGTACAAAATTGAAAAAAGTAATTAATTAAATTTTACTCTGTCAAATATGAAATAAAGTAGATTTAGCAAAGTATTTTGTTTTGCTATTAAGTAAAAACTTAATTTAAATCTATACAGAAAATTTACTTTATCTGTGAAATAGTTTATTGAATACAAATAAACAAATATATATGAAAAAAAAAGGAAGACCCTTTCCTGAAGAATGTATATTATTTCATAGAGGTGAGGTGTGGTCTAATTGATTGTGCATTTGGATTGTAATGTAAGGATTTGTGATTGGGAACTCTGTTGTAGCAAAAATTTGCTCTTCATTTCAGTGCTGTGGATGCATTATAAAAATGATAGTCAGAAGCATTGCTAGGTACTTAAAATATTCGGGGCTTAAGCCTATAGGCACGGTGATTTTCAGCATTTCAGTATGATATTGATCATGGTTTTCTGTTTTTATTTTTCAAGACATCACTGGTTATTTGGGGCACTTTCAAATAGAATCTGGGTATGGGACTTGTGTGCCAGTGCCTAGTGATATCTCTGGTGACAGTCACTTCCCACTGTTTAGTCAGACAAGAGTATCCCAAAAGCTGGTTGTGGATGCTGTTGACTGGCTTCCATTTCTCTAGTCTATCAGTTCAAAATTAGATAAGGCTATTGTAGATAGTGCTTTTGTGTGGCATTGTATGAAAACTCTGAAATAAGCAAAAACTGTTTTTTAGGTTACACTGACTTTAAACTTCCCAGCTAACTTAGCTTAATAATGAGGATAGAATTGACTAAGTTAACTTTATCCTAATTCATAAATTATTGTAATCACAGCTCACTTAAACATTGTAATCTAGTGCTGAATCTAGAGTAAGCATGGCCAGTTAAAACTAGTCCTAAATACAGCTAACTTATCTTGGTCTTGAAGCTACAATAAACATAGCTGACTATACCTAACCTTCGAGCTAGTATAAATGGAGCTTACTTAAACATGGTAATCTGGTGTTGAAGTTAGAGCAAGCATGACCAATTTAACCTAGTCCTAAACATAGCTAACTTATCCTGCTCCTGAAGGTACAATAGACATATTTGACTTAACCAAATTCTAAAGTTAAAGTTAAGACAGCTGACTTAATGACTTGGCTCATTCTTGAAGTGAAAGTAAACACGACTAACTTAACTTAGTTTTGAAGCTAGAGTAAACACATCCTACTTAGCTTTTTCCTGAAACCCTTCAACATGGATTCCTCTACATGGTGAAGGGGACTTTCCAGGGAAGGTTCTGCCAGTGTAACATACCATTTTTGCAATCCAAATATACACCCATGTCCTTGCTTTGCAAACAGTCCATTACAGAGAGGTGAAGATCCTGGTAGTTGAGTGATGCCTGGATTACTACAACACTACTTTAGCTTGAATTCCTGTCAACAGATGGTCATGGAGTGGTTCCCTCAAGGTCAGGTCTATTATGGTTAGAGTCAACCAAATGCCAGTAACAGATGAACTCAGCTGGTGTTGTGGACATTATGTCTGATCTTGGTGTTTGGGTATTGTGTCCATAAAACTCTGTTGTTGATGGACTCTATGGTGGGTGGGGTAATAAATACCAAAAGAATATACTAATAATCAAACTATCTTGTACCAGTAACTCTATAAATGAATACTCACCACCTTCAATACCTGTGCCTTGATTTACAATTCTCCATTCTTTGTCAGAAACATCACTAGGTAGCATCTCTCTTTATATAGAAGAGTCTCTACAGTTGGTAAAGTAATTAATATCTGGGGACCTGTTGATCAAAACATCATTTACAAGTCAAAGGCCATTGAGATAACCCTCATAATACTTTGAATTTTTCAGTATGTGTTGTATTTGAGAGGGATCTTATTAACCATTTTACCATGGAAAGTGACTATAGTAGACTGAAGATTAATTGTTGTTGACAGCAGAAATCGACTTTTCTCCATGGTTGTCAAAACTTTTTTACCTCTAAAGCAGAAAGTGACAACCCTCCACGAGCTTGAATTGGCTGCCGGACACTGAATATGCTGTCATTTGAGAGCATGAGTAGGAAACACAGGTATAAAAAATCTCCTATCTTGGGCTCCAGATGGTAGATGAAGTGAGGCATCCATGCCACCCACATGCAGAGATATCAGTTGATTGTTATATTTTCTCTGTGTTTTACCATAATTTAGTTAAATTATTGCTGCCATAACATCAAGATATGCATTATAAGTGTGTCTTATATTTCACCATAATGCATAATACAGCATAATATGCTGCTAATTTCGATGTTTTTTGATGGAGAAATGGCATTGATTGGGGACTGATTGTGAAATCTAATTACGTGGTGAGGGGGTTAATATAGTGTCAACATTTCTTGCCGAACTCTAGTTGAAAGGTGTCAGCTGTCAGGCAAATAAAAAGAATGGAATACCTAAGTGACTAAAGTTCTCATATTGACATACATACTTTGCACATCTCCTGATGTAAAGGTACGTTATTTGGCCTTATGTTCGTAACCCTTTCCATTATTTCCAATTTCAATGGTTTGGACACTCCAACTCCTCTTGGTATGTTTTGAAAATATGTGCTCATTGCAGTGGCAAATATGAAAAAGTTTCACGCTATATCAAAATGACGAGAGAAAAAAAGAGAGAGGGTTGCTATCATTATAATTTATCCACTGGGAAGATCATAACTATTAGATGAAAATGCTTATGAAAGAAAAAGTACTTCCGAAGACATCTTGAGATTAACAATTTTGTGTGTGTGATAATCGTGGACTCAACTTTCATTGTGAGAAGAAATAAAATTGTGTCGCTGCAAGAAAGTCTACCCACCAAGAGCCACAAGATATATCTGTTTGGTGTATTTACGTGTTTTACACTCACCAAAAAAGAAACCTATCATTCTATAGGTATTTGAAGAACTTGTAGCAATCCGCCAATGAAAGAATAGACCATTCCAAGCTTTAACTTGTTGTTAAACAAATGTTTAAACAAATCTAATTATTCAATTATGTACAAGCT